TCTGAGGGTCACCCTTCAGCCAAAGATCAGACAGGCCCATAAAACAAAACGAGATTAAAGGGGCACACCAGCCCAGGGGCAAGGACTAGAAGGCAGGAGGGGACAGGAAAGCTGGTAATAGGGAACCCAAGATCTAGAAGGGAGAATGTTGACATGTCATGGGGTTGTTAACCAATGTCATAAAACAATATGTGTACTGTTTAATGAAAAGCTAGTTTGTTCTGTAAACCTTCATCTGAAGTACAATTTAAAAACAAAAAGACAACCTACAGAATTAGAGAAAATATTCGCAAATTATATAGCTGGTGAGAGTCTAGTTTCAAGAATATATAAAGAACTCTTATAACTCAACAACAAAAAGACAAACAGTCCGATTAAAAAAAAACATGGGCAATGGGCTAGAACAGACATTTCACCAAAGAAGTTATACAAATGACCAATAAGCACATGAAAAGATGCTCAACGTCATTAGTCACTGCTGTTGCTATTATTAGCTGCCAGCAAGTCAGCTCCAACTCATGGCAACCATATGTATAACAGAACAAAAAGTTGCCCAGTCCTGCACCATCTTTACAGTCACTGGTGTGCTCAAGTCTATTGTTGCAGCCAGTGTGTACTTTGGGTGCCTTCCATCCTAGGGGGCTCATTTTCCAGCACTACATCAGACAATATATTCTTTTGTGAACCATAGGGTTTTCATTGGCTAATTTTTCAGGAGTATATCACCAGGACTTTCTTCCTAGTCTTTCTTAGTCTGGAAGCTCCACTGAAACCTGTGCATCATGGGTGACCCTACTGGTATTTGAAATACTGGTGGCATAACTTTCAGCATCATAGCAACACGCAAGCCACCACAGCACAACAAACTGACAGATGAGTGGTGGCATTAGTCATTAGGGAAATGCAAATCAAAACTACAGTGAGATGCCACTTCACATTGACTATAATGGCTATTATTAAAAAAATGGAAAATAAGTGTTAGCAAGGATGGAGGGAAATTGGAAGCCTTGTGCATTGATGGTGGGAATGTAAAATGGTGCAGCTGCTGTGGAAAACAGTCTGGTATTTCCTCAAAAATTTAAAGATTGAATTACCATTATGATCCAGCAATTTCACTGCTAGGTATATACCCAAAAGAACTGAAAGCAGGAGCTCAAACAGAAACATGTACACCAATGCTCACTGTAGCATTATTCACGACAGCTTAAAAGTGGAACAATCCAAGTGTCCCTCAACAGATGAAAGGCTAAACAAAATGTGATACTGTATATCCATACAATGGAATACTATTCCTCCATAAATACAAATTAAGTTCTTGTTGAACTGGTGTATGTTCTGCTGTACATATTCTCAACAACAATAACAAAAATAAACCATGGGAAAAAAGAAAAAGTCCTGATACATGCTACAACATAGATGAGCCCTAAAAACATGCTGAGTGAAATAAGCCTGATACAAAAGGACAAATGTTGTATGGTCCTACTTATATCAAATAACTAGAACAGGCAAATGCACAGAGATTAAAGTTTACTAGTGGTTACCAAGGGTGAGAAGGAGGAAGAAAGCAGAAGTCATTGCTTAATGGGTACAGAGTTTCTGTTTGGGATGAAGAAAATGGCTACACAACATGGTGAATGTAATTAATGTCACTGAATTGTACACTGAGAAATGGTTACAACAGCAAATTTTTTAAATAAATTTTACAACAAATTTTTAAAAATTGCATCCCTCAATAATAAACAATAATTAAAATTTTGATTATGTTAAAAAACTTAACCAGACCAGAACAAAACTGGCAATACCAAAATATTTCGAATAGTTTTCCAGAAAAGTTCCACATAAACTACCTATCAGAACAGTAAAACTTCAAAATGATTTGGATGATTTTTTTCCATAGCATTCTCATAACTAGTGTAACTGTAATTATGCCATGAACGTATTTCCGCCAAAAGCCATTTGCTTCAGCTTTTTCAAACACTATAAAAACTGAACACCATTTGGAATAGCTATCTTAAACTTAATGCCATTTCCCTGCCTTTTTCTTAAAAACTACTACTTTTCTAGTCACGAGAGTGCTGTGACCCTCAGGTTCCCACCCTGGTCGCACCACCAGCCAGCCCAGGACCTGGCCTCTGTCTCTCAGCTTCCTCATCCAAAGATTAGAACAACAGTATCTCCCTCTTAGGTTGAAGCAAAGATTAAATGAAACGAAGTAGTTAAATACTTGAAAAAGTGCTTAGAATAGTGTCTACCACAGAGCAAGTGCAGTGTTTGTTAATAAAAGAGTCAAACGATATGCTTTTAAAAAGATTTTTTTTCTCTTAGATATTAAACGTTTTGTAAATCAAAGAAAGAAATACATAAGTATGAAACCAGTGGCTCTGTAAGAGGTCAAATATTCTAACTGTAGTGAAGGTAGAGAAGAATCCAAACAGTCATGTATTTCTAGGGTATTAAAAAGAAACAGACTTTCTGTTGCGTCAAAATATACCTATCACAAACTACATAAGCAAAAAATCAAATTAATATTCTGGCTTAAGGGTTTGTTTTAGAAAGTAACATTACACATTCCATTATTCTCACTAAGAAAAGAGAAAATAAAACTACAATAATCAGTGAGAAGAATAAGATATTTAAACTCTACACTAAGAGTGACAGAGAAAGAGAGCAGGGGAAGAAAGGACAGAGAATACCAACCAAGAAAGAACAGGACAGGGAAGTCGGTGGGAAGGGAGGTAGGACAGGGGCAAAGCTGGCCCTCCTGGCCCTGCCTCTTCCGAAGGTTCCTGGCTGACAATGTCCTGTTCCAGTGCTACCTTGTCTCTTGACACAACCCACTCACTCTCGCCAAGTGTCTGTGTAAGAAGCCACCAAGTAGACCCACTCTCAGGTGCCCTTGAGGGACATCTTAGGGACATGCCTGCACCTGTCACCATGTCCTGTGGTCTGTACTAAGGGACCCCACACCCATCCACTGTGTCCCATGGTCTGAGCACCTAGGGACCCTACGTTCCTCCGAGTCCAGTGGTCTCTATGCTCACAGGCCTCCACATCCCTCCACAGCACCCCATGGTCTGGACACTCAGGGACCCCACACTCTCCTACTGTGTCCCGAGGTCTCTGCGCTCACGGGCCCCTGCACCCCACCACCACGTCCCACGGTCTGGGCACTCAGCGACCCCATGCTCCTCCACGAGTCCCATGATCTGGGAGCTCAGGGACCCTGTGGCTCTCCACCACCTCCTGTAATCTTTCGTCGTGGTCCCACACCCTTGTCCCTCTTCAGGAGACGAGTATCTGACTAAAGCAATGCTTCACACTGCCCCCTAAGAGCTACTGCAGAGAGAGAGAAGTAGAGACACACTGGGAGGACACAGAAGAGGTGGCTGTCAAGAAAAGCTCATCAATTTTACACAAATTATGTACTGGCAGAAGGGCAAGTTTCACCTACTACTATAATCCTGTATAGAAAAATAATTCTAAGAGGTGAAGCTCTATTATTTAATTCAAAGTATACAAGATATCTATCATCTGCAACTGAAAAGAGAAAAATCAGTCGAAATTTCTGAGCTCAGTAAATCTGACAACACTAGGAACGTTGTGCCAGAGGAGGGTCAGAGACCTGAATGTGAGGTAGGGCCTGCCAAGACGTCCTGCCATCTGGGTAACATCTGGGCCACAGCTTCTCCCAAGAAGAGGAAAATATGCCCCCCACTGCCCCTGGGCCACTCTTCAGTGACTTTACACGATGTTATGAAAACAAAATGACTTAACAGAGGAAAAAAACTTTACGAAGCAGTAAGCAAATACAAAACACTAACAGTGTTCTTTAAATAATTCTGTACATTAAAAATACATATATATTTACATTGTATATATAAATTTATAGTATAACATAAACAAATACATACTATATGCTTGCTTTAGAAGGACTAAAGCCCTGGTGGCACAGTGGCTAAACTGAAAAGAGGGCGGTTCGAACTCACCAGCCACTCGTCAGAAATAAATCTGGCAGTCTGCTTCCAGAAAGATGTACAGCCTTGGAAACCCTAAGGGGCAGCTCTACTCTGTCCTATAGGGTTGCTATGAGTCTAAATCAACTCGACAACAGTGGATTTGGTTTGGTTTTAGAAGGATTACATAGTTTTTTTCCTTTTGTTCTAAAAAGTAGGGCTCCATATCATTCTCTGAAGAGAAATGGCCCATTCTCATGGCTTTTTAGTGCGCTGACACCAAAGACCTTAAAGACTTCCTCATTTAGAGCTCCTGGCACATCACACTACATCTGGGCTGGTGTCCAGGGCGCGCCAAGAGGCTGCCAGAATCCACTTCAGTCTTGGGGTGGAGTCTTCCCATGTCCAAGCTACCAAACCTGGATTTGAGTTTAATCGTGAAAATAGAACAATACATTCATTCCTGTGAAAATTAGTAATTATTTCAAGCCCATAAGTACAGTTTAATGGTTTAGTGCAATACTTATTAGAAAGCATAGATTCATTGCTTTCCTTTAATATCAAAATGATCTGAGCTCACTCAGATTCAGGAATCTAGCAATTTCTTATTAATTACATGCTGAAGTAGCATAACTGCATTATTTCATTTACTTAATATTCTGAATTTAGTTGAATATTGTGTAAATTGTAATGGTCACCCAAGTCATCTTGCTTTCTTTTAAATGAGGTAGAAAAGCAAAAATGTAGAGGAAAAGAAAAAAGATACTGGGAAATTCTAAATTTATTTCTGTTGTATTATTTGACTAACATCAAAACAGTACTTTTCTTCTACAAATCTTTAAGAAATGTACAGCCATAATTTAACATGTATCACAAAAACAATCAGTAATGATTATTGAACACACTTACATTCTGAATTTACTAGAAACATATTATTCACTACACTCATTTAAATAATGGAACAACCAACTTTTAAATAAGTCTGCATCTCTACAGTGCTGGTAAAACTGAAAACCATCGTTTTATAGGACATAAGGATCACCATACCTGGCAATAAAGGAACAAATTTATAAAACAGTTCTATGGATTTGTGCCGACACTCCGTCTGGGGCCTTCCACAGTGGGCCAAAAGCCACCGGACCATGTCTAGCAGGCACAGTGAAGACGCAGGAGGGAATCCTCTGTGAAGACATAATGTGTTGTAACTACTGTACTCCCAACATTAAACATTCAGCTTAGCAAAGAAGTCTAGGAATCATAAACTTAATTTTATCCTACTAGTATGTGTAGAAACCTCATGAAAAGACACTCAATTTACTTACAATGTATTATCATTAGAACAAAATCAAACCAGCACAGGTTAAATGGGTCTTAAATGCTGCTTGACCTCATTTTTCTTTTCATTGTGGAAAAAATTAAAAAGCATTTCTTAAAAGAAGAGTAACAAGTATTTTCATGTTTCTTTTACAATGTACCTTTGGTCCTCAAAGTATGGTCCCTGGACCAGCTGCATTGGCATCACCTGTGAGCTTGTTTGAAATGCACATTTTCAGGCCCCACCCCAGGCCTGCTGAAGCAGAGATACTGAGGGTGAGCCCAGCGTGTGTGTTGTAACTAGACCTGCGGGTGACTCTGGTACAGGCTCGAGTTTGAGAACAAACGATCTAAAGAGATGTCATAACTTAATAAAAGAATCAATTTTAAAATAATAGATACTTTTCTCCAAAAAATGTTGATCTCCAGTATATATACAGCAATGCCTCTCCTTGGAGGGCCCATCAGCAGACACCAGAATTACCCAGACCCCTCCGATGATCAGCAGGGTTCATACATGGCACTGCTGTGACAGGATCCTGCAGGATGGGGATGACAGGGGAGGCCAGGAACCTCTGCTGGATACACAGGAACTGTGCTCAAAGCAGCTTCTACAAGTCCATGTCTGCCAAAACCCTACTACTCTGACATCTGAGCACCTCAACATCTTAGGTCTTATACTTCATAATTTACTGCATAGCAGTTCATGCATGCTCTGGTCAAATAATTCCACATCAAATTTGTATTCACAACCAGTGTAGGTAAAATAAAATGTCTCAGTTATAAAACTAATCTTCAAATTTATCTATTAGCCCAACCAATAACAAATTTATACCTTAAAACCAAGCACTCAGAACACAAAGCTTTTTAACTTCTATGTAAAACACTCTTTATACTTCCACACATTCCTTGTTTAGAAAATGAATTCTTTATCCTTCCACACATTCCTCTCAGATTGTCCTTTATTAGTTGAGAATTCATTTTATGTTAAAAAAAAAAAAAAAAAAAAGGGAAAAGGGTTACCAGGGGCAGGAGGAGGGGAAATGGGGGAGTCATTGTTTAGAAAGCATTGAGTATCTGTTCATGGTGATGAGGAACCTGGCAATGAATGCTGGTGACAATTGCATAATATGATTGCTGAAACTGGTGTCACTGAATTGTACAGATAAAAAATGTTGAATTGGCAAATGTTGTATTACATATATTTTTTACAACAGTAAAAAAATTTAAGTTTTCTAAATAATAAATAATATCACCTACTGTGGCAAACGCCGTCTTTTTGTCTTGTTTAAAGAAACATGCTTCTTTTCAATGATGCGCCTCAGGTGATCAATGGCATCACAACACTGTTGGATTGTGCCTGTTTTCAAGCATGTAATATATTTCCCAAAAAGAGAGAGCGCTAATTAGCATCAACAAATTAGCATTAGTATTGGCCTACTTTTTAATAAAAAAAGGTCATTTTATTTAAGATTTAATATCTTTTCTCTTTCAGAACATAAAATTTAAATAAATGATTTATACAGCATGTCCAAAAACAAAACCCATACTTAACAAGACTGCAGGACAGTATGATGGCAACCAAAAGGAGTGCGCACACACACAGTAATACCACACTAGACCACAGTCTATATGCCTGCATCCCCCACTGGCCAGGTGCAGCCGGCACACCATAGGACCTATTAAGTATGACAAAACCCACATGTCAGGCTAGAGTCTGTGTACCTCAATTTAAGGCTATAACTCATAGGTGGGTTAAACTACATGACAGTGTAATCATACAGCCACTGTGGGAAAACAGAAAGGGGAATGTTAAAATAGTCCTCCAAAGGCCCTTGGAGAGGAGATGTCTGACACAGCTTATTCTGACCCAAGCACCAAGACAAAGGCTTCCTTCTGTGCTCGTGAACTATGGCAGCAATTTCAGGAAGAGTAAAGTCCTCTTGTGGAGAAAATTCACCTATACAGAATGTCAAGATAACCAAAGTAATTTTGAGCTACTTGATGGCAAGGACTAAATTTTAAGCACTTTTTCCCACAGAAGACTATCAACCTGAGTGACGATACATCTCAGCCTATCTCTTACAGTATAAGCAGAAACCAAAATCTGCACAAGTAGACAAGCAGTCCGTCCCTTAGCCCCTACTCTCAAGCTTGTGACTGTGATGTGTGGGGCCCAAAACACGGCAGGCTCTATGAGTTCTTCCCACTCAAATAAAATTGTCCCACTTTCTAGGCAGGGTCTCCAGCCAGTCAGGGGTCAAGCTCAGTGGCTCCAGGGGTATGTGGTGAGTCTTTGAGGAAGAGGTCGTGGAAGAATCTTGTGCAAACCGCACTATAGGTGTTAGAGGGGTATATCTCCTCTTCACATGTATCACCCCAAATGAGAGACAAGAGAAAAGAAGAAAACAGCACCTTACACAAGAATCACTGAGGCTTAACTTAAGCCCGAGCAGAAAAGCTCTAAAGGCTCCTAAGGCAAGCAGAACCACCAGCACGAAAACAGGAAGCCTGGATAAAACATACCCAAGTACTTTTCATCTGTATGCGCTAAGGCCAGACTTTCCATATAGACAACCAAGGCTTCAAACACAAACTGTTCTACCAGGGACTCTTCTTCCCTGTAAAATAAAGAATATTAAGCCTCACTTAGGAAAGAAATACAGAAGAAATGAATAGACAAAAAGAAATGTTATTAAAAAATAAATTTGTTAGACATAATAGCTTGAGTATTTCAAACATAAAACAATCTAAAACACTTCTCAGAAAAGATTAGTTTTATAACTGAGACATTGTATTTTACCTACACTGGTTGTGAATACAAATTTGATGTGGAATTATTTGACCAGAGCATGCATGAACTGCTATGCAGTCAATTATGAAGTATAAGACCTAAGATGTTGAGGTGCTCAGATGTCAGAGTAGTAGGGTTTTGGCAGACATGGACTTGTAGAAGCTGCTTTGAGCACAGTTCCTGTGTATCCAGCAGAGGTTCCTGGCCTCCCCTGTCATCTCCATCCTGCAGGATCCTGTCACAGCAGTGCCATGTATGAACCCTGCTGATCATCAGAGGGGTCTGGGTAACTCTTGTGTCTGCAGACCAAAAAGGCAGTCTCCCTCTGTGTACAAGTGCCCCTCCTCCTCCATTAGCTGTGCGAACACTCACAGCACATAACCTCAGCACTGCTCTTCTGACCACACCCTTACGTACTGATTAAAATTAAACATAGTAGAAAATAAGATCTGATATCATATCCATACTCTTTCAAGATAAAGGAATTTTTAAAGCTTTCAACCAACCCAAAAACAAGTCAGCATAAGGAGTGAACGTTTTTGCAAGAATCCCAGTGCATGCGAACACATCGCGGGTCACCAGCTTACACAGAGCCCTAATGTCAGCTCCTAGGTGGCTGGGGTCCCTTAGCCTGCGGCCAAGCGTAGAGGCCAGATCTCTCACTGGAAATGTGCTCTTTAATAACAGTACAGTGAACAATAAGCTATAAAATGACAGGCACAGGCAATATGCTTCTAGGTGTCAGAGGTGGAAGTTCTCACTGTGCCTCTGCCCCATAGTGGTGCAGGGGTGGCTCACTGTGCACTGCCGGGAAGGGGCTTCCACGGGACAGAGAACACGGAGCAGGCACTGGAGGGAAGGCAGGGTTGAGAACAGATTGCAAACTAGTGCTTGATTTGGCAGGAATGTGATCCTAATTTTTTTTTTTTTTTTTTGACTCCCAGGAGGGGCAGAGCCTCTCAGGGTTCCACAAGCGTCTCACCCCCAGGACTCAAACTGAGACTAGGGGACCCTACAAATAAATAAGCCAGCATACACAGAGACATGGAAGTAAGGCGAAAGACCTGGACCAGTAAGCAAACCACAAAGCCAGAGGAAAAGGTTCATTTGGAAGAGTAACTTATGCTTAAGCCTGCATAGGTCAGTGGAGTAGAACTGTAGAGCCCTTAGAGGGCAGGCTAAGTACCATAGTTTTCATTTCAGGTACCAAGAAACCAGTTAAAGTGTGTAAGTAAAGAAATGACATGACAAGATGGTACTCGGAGACTGTGCTCTCCACAGAGGGGTGTTCAAAACAATTTAAGGGCACACAGGAAGGAAACATTCGAACTTCTATTTACGTTATTCAACATGCACGATGTCAGAAAGTTTATTTCTCATGCACCCTTTCTCAAAAAGCCACCTGAAATGTGGTGAAACAAATAAGAGTGTGTCCGAGAAAGGAGATGGCAGAAGGAAAGAGAGGCACAAACCCAGGAATGAAGCAGAGAGCACCCAAGAGGACAGTGGAGGAGATCAAGGTAGCTCCTGGATACCAGGACGGTGTGCAGGGTGGCCTGAGGAAAAGCCATGCTGGCAGCGCCTCCAAGACCCACAGTGGTGGGTGAGCCCTGCCCAAATTTTTATCTGAACTTGGCTTATGACCATGTGCTTTAAGTTCTTGTCCTCCCGTCCATGCCAGCTTGGATCCGCCAACAAAGCTCACTGAACCTACAAGGGTTTTTGCTTTGACCTACTCCTCACAGGTACATGGAGGCCAAGAGAGCTGGCAGCAGAATTAAGTGCAGCCCACCCTCTGACGATATTTCTCCCAGACATTAGTTGCTGGCCAACTTCACGGCATCTCAGATGCTGGATTCTGAAGGTCTGTGTCCCAGGACAAACTGTGGACCTTGCCCACCTAACTCACTTCATAGGGTCCTTATAGTCTCTCAGGAGCTGAAGATGGTCTCTATGTGGCTTATCTCCAACTAGGATCCTTCACCTACAAATGAGGACACCATCCCTCCCTTCCATAGCTGCGTCTGTGCTTACTATCAGCCTGCCAAAATGAAGTAACATATTGTTTAGGAATACATACAGAAATGCATAAAGAAAAGCAAGGGAATAAGTAACATAAAAGTCAGGAGAATGAGGGGCGGATATGTGATTGGGAGGTTTCTAAAATAAAATACAGGAAATTCTATTTTGTAAACTAGGTGGTGGGTATACAGGAACATTTTTATTATTATTCTATAAACTTTACATATATGTTTTTCACACTCTTCTGTTCATGTAAGTTTCACAATTAAAAAGCTAAGAAAAAAATAATATAATTGCAAGTAGTCAATTTTCATACAAACACACATACTCTATCCTTCCATCTCTCCATCCATCTGTATTATTTCTATAATTGAGTCCCTCTTCTCTATCCCAATTGCCATTTCCTGAGAGAAGCTATTCTGATCTCCCAAACAGGTCAGGTTCCTCATTATAAGACTGTATAATAATCACGTACCTCTACTTTGCATTTATTTCAGCAAAAAATTTTACATTTATCTATGTAATTAATTATTATCTGTCTCCCTTTCTGAAATGTATCCGTCATCAAGAGACTGTATATTTATATCTCTGGCATTTGGCACAGCGCCTGGCACACAATATGCTCAATAAATAACGCTGAATGAAGGAATGAGTGGGAGTGTACCACTGCTACTTCAGGCAGGGCCTTCTGAGACAGCCTCACCACTGGCGCCTGCCTCATATGGTTTCACCCAGACCCTCTGCATACAGCGCCAGCATGTGAACGGTAAGAAGAAACTTGAATGTCCCCAGAAGTGACCGAGTTTCTTCACATGGCACCAGGCCCTCCTCACTGGCTCACCACACACTTTCTACACCTCAAACCCATCTCCTCATAAACCATCTTGTTCCTTATCTCCATCCCATCCCTCTAATCTGAAATGCCTTGGCTGGGCTCCACTCATCCTTAAAGTCTCATCGAGAGCACAAACACTACCAGTAGCCCTTCCCTAATCTACTCAAACTGGGCAGATACTCCTCCTCTGTGTCCCTAAAGACCTTGCATATCGTCTTCCATTCCATTTAGAAGACTGCTATCTAATTAGGGTTGTATGCTTTTCTCAGTAGTTTCTGAACTTCACTGTAAACTCTGTTTTAATTGATTTTTGAATCCCCAGAACACAGCACAGCATCCTCTACATCTACTTGATACAGGAATAAATGAATATATAGTCAAACACCTAGGCGCCTTTCAAGACCACCATCCTCCTTTCACCCTGGCACCCTCCTCCCTGCCATGTGCTTGCTCACCTGAATTCCCTGTAGATATTATTAAAAGCAAGTGCGGCTCCCAGCCTCTTGGAAGCATTGGGGTGCAGTGCGAAGCTGTACAATCGCTTAAAAAGCGATTTGGTGTTTACAGGACTTTTTTCCTGCTGCTGTGGTGTTGTCTGCTTAATGGACCATTTTAGGAATTCTCGAACACAGCGACCACAAAAATCTCTTAAAGTACTGTCAACAGGATCCACAATGCCATCCTGAAACCAAACAAAGAGGCCTTTATTGTACTTATGTTTATAACCATTAAATGACAATTCAGTATACTTGGTCTACCTCTAAGAATAACTAGAGTATATTGTAAAAATTAATTTATAGTACTATTCAAGAAAAAATAAACAAAGGTAAAACCAATCTCATTGACTAGAATCTAGACTGTATATAAAAATTTTCTTTTCACAAAATGAAAATGCTTTCTTTTAAGCAAATTCAGAAACTGAACAATGCATGAAAAAAAGAATAATCTAATCATAATCACAAAGCATCCTTTCCTTTCTCTGAAGAAACACAGTGGCTCTATCCTAAGAATTTGTTATTGTTTATTTTACCCCATAACAATTTCCAAGACTTTTATTTATCGAGGTTGAAGATAACAAGACCTTTACAGGTTCCAAGGAAACTGTATTATTACATAAAGAAAAATGATATGGAGGCATGGTTCTGTAAACATAACTTATACAAGCAGCCCCATAAAGGCAGTCTCTAAGCACCTGAAGAAAATAGCTGTGGAAATTTGAACAATGATCACATAGACGATTATTCTATTTAATGCGTCTGTTTCCCTCTATGTATTATTCCCTCTCAGATCCATCTAAGAAAAGGATGAAAAAGGATCCTGAAGAACGAAGAGAGTTCTACCTAAATCCCCAGTTGTTTGCCAAATGCAAAATCCTTGACACAATGCCAACTACAATTCAAGATGGTAACAAACCATAGAAATGTGGAGAAGCAATACTGACTGCTTCTCAGAGCAGAAGTAAATATTACATGTGGTGACATTTGGGAATTGGCAGTAAATTCGTACTAAGGAAACCCAGGGATTCTCTCATGGAGCACTGTAACATCCCAAGGTCACATTTTCTCCTTGGCCTCTTCTTTCTCAACTACCTCATTTTACTTTCTCCTTACCTTATCAGATTTCTTTCTGAAGCCCTTACTTAAGCTATCTTCAAGGAACAAAAGGTGAAAAGAAACAGCTTAGATAGAAAATTCAGAATAGAAACATTAGAATAAATCCATCTGAATGCAAATAAGCCACAAATTAAATTTAATTAAATGTACTTATTATAGGCAAGATTCACTGTTAGGCCCTGCAGGGGCTTAATGCACCGACATAATTATGTCACCATCCTAATAAACAATATTCACTAACCTGCACTGCTCGCAACATGGTGCACGCATAAAGGTGGCTCTGAGAATCTAAGGGAATGCTATTGGTAGTTACACCAGAGGATGGTGCCATCTTGGGCAAGCCAGGATGGATAGCCACCCACAGGCCACGCTCTACCCTCTGCCCAGCCTCTTCTTTCTCGATCCACAAACACACCACGCACCTACATCTTTACATCCTGTCTAGATGCCCTTGTCAAATTCCGTTTCCTCTGGCTCATCTCATACTTGACAGAAAGTGATACACAGATTTAAAGTGGAATCAACTGTAAGAATACAGAACTAACAATCATTTGTTTGGACAAACTTGCTATGTGTTTAATTGGTGCCTTTGATTCCAAAATCAATATATGACAAAACAAAATCATAGGCTGAAATAGTAAAATAAAATGACACTTAAAGGAATCAAAAGTAACGTTACTCACCAAGATTCAAAAAATTGTAATAAACATCAAATGGCACTAGGTTTTTGTTGACCTCAAGCTCGACACAGGGCGATGTGATCTTAGAACACAGCAACAGGGCACACTCCTGCCTCTGCCCTCCATGAGTCAGGGCCAAATCCTAACGATTCCACCACTGCTATCTTAGGATATCACTACGTAAAAGATAAGCTTCTGTTTCTAAGGCCCTTTAGTTGTTGAGTATGAATGCAGGAAAAAATTTGATAAGCTCAAAAAATTCCTTTTATCCATAAGTTAATTATTGAACAAAAAGAAAGAGCATATTGAAACTTGAATAAAAGTCAAAAAACATTCTTTGCTATTCCTCTCACATTCAATGCACATGCGCACACACACACATATACATGCATACGAACACACATGCACACATACACTCTTGCTTATTATAGATTAAGTATGTCAAATTTTATAACCATCCTCCCAAAAACAAAAAACATAAACTATTATTTCCTTGCAAGTATTATCATTTAAGTAAATAAACACAGTATCCTATCCATTAAAATGACATTTCACCAATTCCTTAAGACAAAGGCAAAAAGAAGATATGATCTATTTAGATACATTTTGGTATCTTGATAGGTAACTTTTCTCAAAGTTCTAAATACAGACAAAATGTAACTAGACAATGGGAATAGCAGGAAAAGAATCCACTATGACTTACCAAAATAGTTTCTAGTAAAGCAACAGTATCCTGACTTTCAAATTTATTGTTGTTGGTGAACCAGTGGATCAGCTGCATAACTAATGGTTCATATAATTGCCTTGTCACCTGAAAAAACAATACCATTAGATTAAATGCCTTCATCTTAAAGGAATTTTGCACTGGAAAGAGTTCCATTTAAATGGCATTTGCAGTGGGGCAAAATTCAGCTATAATACCACTATTGCTTTATTAGTTTCCTTTTCTAGCTCAATTCTGGATGAACATGTTCTAACTATTCTTCTCTCCTTCCTAAGAGTTCAGCAAAGTAAAAATGTATATACTGAAACTCATTGCTCCTCTAATTAGGCGGGCAATTTAGGGTAGAAATTAAAGGGCTTTTAATACATATCTTTATTAATTTTATCCTGAACATGCACAAAGGGTGTTCCGGATCAGGGACACATTATCAATGATTCACTTAAAAAGCAAATAATGACAGCATAGTTCTCCACACCCTGCAGTGACTAAACTTGAGCCAGGTCAATGTCCTTCAGCACAAACATCAAAGCCTGCAGCACAGGCTAGGGACAGGGACCATCACTCTCCCCTGCTTCTCTACGGTAGGAAGGCCTCCCCAGGCCTCCCCAAAGGAAGGAGAAAAATCTTTATGGCTTGGAAACTGGATGGAAAAGATCCTACCTTGTCACTCTAACCTTCTGAAATGTAAATAAAACCTCTCCAGGGCCAGATAGCCTTGTGTGTCTCCTGATTTTATATTCCAGGTATGTGTAAGCTTCCTCCTCCCTTTGACATGTAAATATACAAGAAGATACCTCTTCAGTCTCCCTGGCAATTGGGGCTTAATGGGGGGAACTAGTCAAGTTGTGACCAATAAGCCATCTTGGGGAATAAGAGAAGTTTTAATTATCTTTTCGGATCAGAGCAATTAACTAGACAAATGGCTACAGACTTAATCCTCATGACATATGAAGGATTAAATGGTGTCTACTGCTAACAGAGGTTGGAGGTTTGAGTTGACCCGGAGGAATCTTGGAACAAAGATCTGGCGATCTACTTCCAAAATATCAGCCAATGAAAACCCTATGTAATGTGTCACTAATTGCCTCCATGAACAACTGCCTCCTTTGCCATGAGACCAGAAGAACTGGATGATGCCCAGCTACCACTACTGAACAGTCTGATCAAAGATTCTATAGCAGAATTCTGATGAAAAGGGGGAAAATGTAGAACAGAATTTCACATTCACATGGAATCCAGACTTTTTGGAGAAATGAAAGCAGATTGAACCTGAAACTATTATCCTGAGATAATCTTTAAACCTTAAACCAAAAATATCACCTGTAGATTTCTTAAAACCACACAACAGTTTACCTTAACTAGTAAAGAATGTCTGTCTTGAGCAATGTGTTCTTTCAAGATCTATCTATATAGCACAGAAGGACAAATACTGTATAGGACCACCAGTATAAGAACTCAAGAAAAGATTTAAACACAGAAGAAAACAGTCTTTGATGGTTACCAGGGTAGGAAGGAATGGTGAGGGTTATTCACTAAATAGACAGTAGACAAGAATTACCTTAAGTGAAGGGAAGGACAACACACACTACAGGGGAAGTCAGCACAACTGGACTAAGCCAAAGCTAAGAAGCTTCCCAAATACAATCAAACACTTAGAGGGACAGAGCAGCAGGGGTGGGGGTCTGGGGACCATGCTTTCAGGGGCATCTAGGTCAACTGGCATAACAAAGTTTATTAAGAAACTGCTCTTCATCCCATTTTGAAGAGTGACGTCTGGGGTCTTAAAAGCTAGCAAGTGGCCATCTAAGATACATCCATTGGTCCCAACTCACCTGGAGTAAAGGAAAATGAAGAACACCAAAGACACAAGGGAAGTATTAGCCCAAGAGACAGAAAGGGCCACATAAACGAGAGACTGCATGAGCGTGAGACCAGAAGAACTAGATGATGCCCAGCTACCACCAATGACCTCCCTGACAGGGAACACAACACAGAGTCCCTGACGGAGCAGGAGAAAAGTGGGGTGCAGAACTCAAATTCTAGTAAAAAGACCAGACTTAATGGTCTGACCGAGACTAGAGGAATCCCAGAAAGCACAGCCCGTGGACAACCTGTGAGTCCAGAACTAAAACAACTTCCAGGACCAGCTCCTCAGACAAGGATAGGAATGGACTGTGGGACATAAAATGATACTCGTGAGGCATGTGCTTCTTAGCTCAAGTAGATACATGAGACTAAACGGGCAACTTCTGTCCAGAGGTGAGATGACAAGGCAAAGAGGGTTCCGAGCTGGTTAAATGGACATGGGAAATCAGGGGTAGAAAGGAAGAGTGTGCCGTCACAGCATAGGGAGAGGAATTAGGGTCACATAACAATGTATGTATAAATTTTTGTACAAGAGACTAACTTGAAATGTAAACTTTCACTGAAACTACAACAATAAAAAAAAAAAAGATCTAGCTATAGATCTTGGCAACAGTAACTCAAAATCTGAGCAACAGTAACTCAGACTGACAACAGTAACTTGAAAGATTAGATAGAAAACTTAGGCAACAGTGAGTATATGTTAATGGAGGAGAAACTACTCAAAAGGAAGGTGAGAATGGTTACATAACTTGAAGAATGTAATAAACGTCAATGAATTGTACACACAGAAATTGGTGCACTGGTGTATGTTGTGCTGTGTATATTCTCTACAAGAACAACAAAAACAAATTATTAAAAAAAAAAAGAAAGCAGGAGGCGAGGCCAAGATGGCAGAGTAGTCGGATGGCATCTTATATCCCTCTTACAACAAAGACCTGGAAAAACAAGTGATTTGATTGTATAATATCTAAGAGCCCTGAACAAGGCAAAGTTGAGGAATCACACTGAGTGGCGGGGGGAGAGGGAGACGGTTCTGAAGCGAGAAGTGCCAAACCGGACTTGGCTCCAGCTTTTCAGCCCCAACTGGCTCCGAAGTACGCAATGAAGCAGGGAAACAGCTGCGCGTGCACTGCGGCAGTTCCCACGTCAACAGAGATCCGGCAGCAGAGAATTTTCTTGGACACTCCAAACCAGTGAAAAGCAGCTCCCAAGTGGCTAAAGATAAGTACATGCGTGCAGCCTTCGTGGGGATTTTAAAAAAAAAAAAAAAAAACCCATTTGGGAAAAACCTCTCTCCCTTTTACCTCCTCCCTCCCCCTTCCGAAGTCTGAGTCCGCTGGGCTGGAAGTAGATCCCAAAAGGCGCCCTGACCTATTCTCCTGGTCTTGGAGAGGGAACAAATAAGCTACTGGATCCCCTAAGTCAGGAACTCAGGGTCAGCACAGCTCCTTTGCTAGGCACAGGCATAAGGGGTTCACAGACTTTGAGTGCCTTACACCCCTATATAGACTGGTGGGGACCCATCTCAACAGCGTTAGCCCTCACTACCACAGTACAACAAGGTAAACATTTGAAGCCTAACTTAAACTGTTTCAGCTGTGAAGTGGCAGATTTGTGACCCTCGACACAGCCCTGCCCTTTAAGCAGGCACCTTTACCAATCCGAACCAGGGTCTTGAGGACTGGTGTCTTCACCCATGCCACCTAGTCACCTACTACAGGAGTCCAAGAATAAGTGGTGCCCTCGAGTCTTTACAGCCAACAGAGCAGGGTGCTCATAGTCCGGCAGCAAAATTCACCTACCTACTCACCCTAGGGAATAAGGACACGCTTTCCTCTCAGACTCTCAGGGGCAGCCGTCAGCCCCCTGCCTGGCTCAGCACGTGATCCCCTACTGTAGCAAGATACTGGTGCCTACACCAATCACCCATGCCTAAGACTGTAGGTGAGAGCCTGCACCACACACTTCGTACCGACTACCTGCACACCTGAGCTAAAAGCATATAGGAAAATTTAACGGACTCCTGTGTGCACATTCTTAGTTACAGAACTAACTACCTGGTGACAGGACATTAGAGCTTCAAAGGCGCAAATAATCAAACTAGCATGAACAAGCAGCCTATTGGGGCATATCAAAACAAAACAAAACAAGAAGCTAGGTCTCACTAAACAAATATAAAATAAAATTATACTAACTGATTGATGCCTCGGAGACAAAAGTTAACATCAAATCACATAAACAGGCAGTCAATGATGGCTTCAGCAAGCTCCCAAAATAAAGAATCAATAAATTCTCTGGAGGAATAGAATTTCTGGGAATTACCAGAGGCAAAATACAAAAGATTAATATACAGAACTCTTCTAGAAATTAGAAAGGAAATTCTTCAAAATGCAGAAACTGCCAAAGAACACACAGACAAACTAGTGGCGGAACTTAAAAAAGTTATTCAAGAACATAATGACAAATTCAATAGGCTGCAAGAATCCATAGAGAGACAGCAATTAGAAGTCCAGAAGATTAACAATAAAATTTCAGAATTAGACAACTCAGTAGAAAGCCATAAGAGCAGAATTGAGGCAGCAGCAGTTAGAATAGATAAACCACTTGACGCCAATTTATTTGAGGAAAAATCAGATAAAAGAATTAAAAAGAATGAAGAAACTCTAAGAGTTATATGGGACTCTATCAAGAGAAATAACCTGCGAGTGATTGGAGTACCAGAACATGGGAGATAACAGAAAATACAGAGAAAATTGTTGAAGATTTGTTGACAGAAAATTTCCCTGATTTCATGAAAGTGAGAAGATATCTATCCAAGATGCTCATCAAACCCCACATAAGGTAGATCCCAAAAGAAAGTCACCAACACATATTATAATCAAACTTACCAAAACCAAAGATAAAGAGAGAATTTTAAGAGCAGCTAGGGATAAAAGAAAAGTCATCTACAAAGGAGAGTCAATAAGAATAAGCTCGGACTACTCAGCAGAAACCATGCAGGCAAGAAGGCAATGGGATGACATATATAAAGCCTTGAAGGAAAAGAACTGCCAGTCAAGAATTATATATCCAGCAAAACTGTCTCTCAAATATGATGGCGAAATTAGGGCATTTCCAGATAAACACAAGTTCAGGGAATTTGCAAAAACCAAACCAAAATTACAAGAAATACTAAAGGGAGTCCGATGGTTAGATAATCAATAACATCAGATAAAAACACA